TGTGTATACTATACACTATATATACAACTATATATACAACTATAATAAGCTGTAGTGTGTACTTGGTCAGAGTCTCAATATAAGTCACCATGAAGACAACGCTTGACTGCTGCTCTAACTTTTTTAGCAGAAATGAGCTGTTTCCTTTTTCTCGTTTCAGCCTAACCTGTGGTTTTCAAAATGCCACAACAGATTAACACGCTTCCTCCTCCACCTCTACTTGAAAATTACAACAGGCAGAAAGAACAAGTCATTGGTCATTTCTTTATTTCAGAGAGCATTGTCTGAAAGTGTACAAAAGTGCATCATTTTCTTCATTGGCCACATAAAGAACACAGATGTTAAAAAACACATGTTGAGCTACATGATAGAGACACAAGCGTGAGCTCGGATGCAAGATGAGATTCAGTTACACTTTTTTATCCAAATGACATCACAGAGTACTTGTGATTCAGCACACATTCAAGGACAATGTAGAAAACAAAGAACTTATATTTATCATCGTAGTACACAAGTTTAAAAAAACTGTTAAAACTCACACACACACACAAAATAACTCTTAATACTGTATTAATGCACTTGAATTCGTAAAATGAGACTAAATAGATAAAGCACGTAGCTTTTTCTGCCTTTTGTCAGCATAATTTAAAAAGACTAATAAATGTGAACAATTTTCCAACAGTGTTAAAGGAGGTACATCAAAAAAAGAAAAAAACACAGTAATCAATGCTCCTCAGATGTCATTTAAATGCATTATCATGTATTCTAATCATACAGTATTACCTCACATTTAGTTTGAATGCTTTCCTCAACAGCAAATGTAATCTAAGCCACACAATAATATCATTACAAATACATAAAAAATATGCATGTTAACCAAATGTTATACCAATTAGTGTTATGTAGCTATAAAACAGTGTCTGTAATGTTGTGAGTGGAGTGGAAGAATCTGTGTTAACAGCTGAGGACCTCCACATTTGTTGATACTGTTAAGGCCTGAGCGCAGATTAAACGAACACAGGCTGCTTTTCAGGGATCAGATAAAGACCAGTCAAAACACCACACCATAAAATGAAAATAAAAAAATCCACTTGGAGTCCCTTTTGTTCACAGTTCCTCCAAACAAACATTACATTACACATTACACTCTGCAGACCCTAGGAAAACACAGTCAAACTGGATAAAAGTGTGGCCTTGAAGATTAAAAAAAACATTGTGTCAGCATGCAGACAGGTCTGAAGGAGCTGCCCTGAGGGTGTCCTTGGTATCAGTCTTCACCCAGAGGATTCACCGTGATACTTGCACAGGAACACAAATGATGTAACAACGATAAACATAAAGTGTATTATAATACAGCTTGGCCTCACAATTTAAGAAGAAATTTTTCCTTATTTCAGTGGTTCTCAGCCTGGTAGTCAGGATCCCCGGGGAGTCACAGGGTGTTTAATGTGGAGAAAAATACTATTATAACAAATACAGACGTATTCTAACTTGTTCTAACTTGTTTGTCTTTGTTGTGAAATTGTGAATATTTTTAGTTTTTTGACCAAAGTCAAATCGCTGAATTATCCAAACAACAACACGGCAAAGACACATTTCTGCGCTCTGCATAGCAGCCTGCATCAGAAGCATTTAAGGAATCAGGACAGTAACAGGTTGAGAACCAGTGCTCTTTCTGAAAGAGACGCTTGTATAAAATCGAAGCAAATCAAAGTGTAACATGGAATGTGTTGAAGCTTTAGCTTCTATGGCAGATAAGACATTTAGAGTCTGGGATCATGCAATAGCACCACTGTTGTTTTTATGAGGTCACTTCCTGTCTGTTGGTCTCTCACTTCCTCCTTCGGCCACAGTATGTACCCTGACAGCCAGCGCCTACATACAGAACAGACAATTAGTCCGCCATTGACATATAACAAAAATTATACTGTAAAACAAGTTAAACTGGTTTAACTTAAAACACAACTTCTCTCAATGGCTTAAAAAATTGAACTGGATAAATAGTTTGACGTTGTAGTATAAAATAATACATGAATTTAAATGTAGGAAACTTAAGACATCAAGTTTAGTCAACAAGAGTTCATCACACGTCACACTAACAAGCATCATAGTCAGAATAGCTTCCCAGTGATGTTATCTCAGTTAGGAGGGTCATTTAGCACAGAGCCACTTAGTTCCTGTATTTGAGACTGTAAGACATGGCAGTTCTGTGGAAACCATTTTTGCACCACAGTTAATTCTAAATAAAATGATAGTAAATTATCAAAATGTTTCCATCATGTAACTTTTCTTTAAAGTAGAAGGAACAGGACTTTGTGGAGAATTATTACACCTCATACAGTGCAGTCTGGGAAGTGTGCTGATACGCTGTTTGTCTTTGTAAACTTAATCAGCTTAGTCAAGCAGCCTAATTCAACTCATTATTAAAAGTTACAACACTTGCTCATGACTCAACTACAAAGTGTTGTTTTACTCGACTGAATTTCATCAAATTCCAGTACAACGTTTTACTATGTAAGATATGGCTCACTGTTAAGTAATATAATGTGAGTGATTGTTACCTCTGTAGCCCCCAGCACCCAGTAAGGCCTGCATAGCTGCATACTTGGCTGCCTTCTGTGCTTTGGCTAAAAGACATGAAAGTAAAAGTTATTAGGCAGATATATATACAGTTTCTAAAGGCTCCCTATAATAATACCTAGAACTAATGATTATAAAAACAAACATTTTTCCAAAAGAAATTTCAAAATGATCATCTCTCATGTGTTTAGTGTATCTATGTGAAGTATTAATGTTGGAGATCTGTCAAGAGAGCATGCTTATCCCAGAGGACACAGTGAGTTTTCTTACATTTTTGTCCAGCCCCAGTATATCCTAGAGAACAATAAAAGGAAAGACATAGTCATAATAAACAAGAGATAATCTTTACAATGGTCTCATTTTTTTTAAAATCTAAGCAGTGACGTGAATGAAATTAAGCCAAAACAAATATTCACCATGCAAGGCCTGACTCCAAGGATAAAAGCATTTCCCTACTTTGTGTGGACATCAGAGTTATTATAGTTGTGTATTTTCAGTTTTAGTTTCGTTCTTAGTTGTTATTTTTATTTAGTTTTGGTTTGTTTTCATGGTGGATTTGCTCATTTCAGTTGAGTTTTTTCTAATTTAAAGAGTTTTTATCAGTAGTAGTATAAGTTAGTTATTTGTATTATTTTGTAATTATAATATGGGGGGTATTTGTCAGGGGTTAGATTGAATAAGTTCAGAATAGGTATACAATACAAACACAACTCTTTATGAAGGCAGCTGACTCACTCATGTAGACAGTCTCAATAAACATAATGCACCAATGCCCCTCTAACCCTATTTGACCAAACTGACAAAGACTAAAACTAAAGACATTTCCTCTATATTTTTATTTAATTTGGTTAGTTTTGTAAGTACACAATGTAGTTTCAGTTATTTTTAAGTCTTCCTAAAGTCTAAGTGTTTTTCACACCTAGTTTTAGTTTTTAGTTTAGTTTTAGTTTACTATAATAACCCTGGTGCATATAACATGTGTGTTGTGTATCTACAAGGTTTATTAAATGTTTAATTAATTCATTTTTAATCTTTACAAAGAGTGAGTGAGAGTTAAAATAATGAAAATTAAAGTGTCATAAAGTGCTTCTGTCTTACCTGTATAGCCCCCACCAGCCATCCCACCATAGCCAGGGCCAACTCCCCCTGCTGGAGCAATGGTCACATTACATCACTTGCATAATGCACTTTCTGATTACACTGATTACACTTTCTGATTCACTGGTCTCATCAGCAGACACGAGATGTATTTACTGTGCAGTGGTATTGTGAATGCATTTGTTTTCAAATATAAAAATACAAATGTTTATACTTATATTATTGTTTTGTATTTTATAAGGACTCCATTTGAACTGACCTGGTAAGCCGCCTGCTCCTCCTCCTACTCCCTGGCCTGTTCCTGCAGAACCTCCTGTGCCTGTTGTTCCTCCTGCTACACCACCTGGACAGACAAGTGAGTATGAAAGTGTATAAATCAGTCACATCAGCACTTAAAATCCCCAGAAAATAACTGTGATACACAGTGTACCTTTTGCAGAGAAAAGGCTTTGCTAGTTTAGATTTTTCATGTTTGACAGACCTGTAACGATTTACACTTACACTAACAGTAACTCATCTTTTTACTCTTTAGTTTTCCATTATAAACAAGAAACTCACCTGAGCCTCCAATGATACCTCCTGTTCCTGCACCAGGAAGAACTCCTGCTCCACCACCTGATGAACAGAGGCAGGGTTGGAGTAAATTAGACTATACATGAATATAAAGTAATATAACGGATAAGTATCTCCGCAAGTTAATAACCGTCGTGACAAAGCTTCAAGTTTATTGTATTTTGTTATATAAACGTAATTATACATAATAATATGGAAATGTCACTGTTGTTTTATTTAGTTCTGATAAAAGTAAATGTTATATCCTTCAAGAGGCTAACACTTGCTGAACCAATTCAAGCTATATCTGCATATTAAAGATTATCAAGTCCTTTAATTAGATTTTTTTCCACTTAGTCATAATACACAGTGATTTGGTGTCTACTGTAGAGCACAGTACTACAATAGAGCCTTGGTGGCAACGTACAATACGAACTTGCATCAGTAATTATTAGAAAGTTATAATTAGGTATTTATATGCATCAGTGGAGAATTTTACCTGGTCTATAGCCAGTTCCACCCAACGATGAGCCGTAACCAGATTTAGGCTTCCTTTTCCCAAGTGCTTGGCCACCAGGTCCATATCCACCTGCACCACCAGGTCTAAAGCCCCCTGGTCCTGTTCCAGCACCTCCTGGACCGTAGCCACCAGTTCCAGCGCCTCCTGGGCCGAGTCCGCCAGTTCCAGCTCCTCCTGGGCCATAACCACCGGTTCCAGCTCCTCCTTGGGCCATAACACCGGTTTCAGCGCCTCCTGGGCCATAACCACCGGTCCCAGCACCTCCTGGGCCGAGGCCGCCAGTTCCAGCTCCTCCTGGGCCATAACCACCGGTTCCAGCGCCTCCTGGGCCATAACCACCAGTGCCAGCGCCTCCTGGGCCGAGGCGGCCAGTTCCAGCTCCACCAGGACCACCTCCTGTACCTCCTCCCAATCCTCCTGCTGGGAAACAGATCTAAATATATTAGCACAACTAGATACCACATTAATGTATAAAAAGATATTTACGATCTCTGATCTTAACCCAAACCTCACCTTGTCCATACCCAGCTCCTCCATAACCTGAAATAAAGGATGAGAAAGAATTTGGTCAAACAATGTCCTGCTAATTATTTTATTAAAACAGTCAAATCTAACGCATGCCTCCATCAGTAAAAAATAAAATGTATCACCTGCTTTATAGTTTTACTTGTATGATCATTACTTGCCAGATTTAGAGGGTTTTCTTTTTCCTAATCCTTGGCCCCCTGGTCTGACGCTACCTGTTCCTGTGCCGACACCACCTGGTCCAAAACCTGTTCCTGTGCCGATACCGCCTGGTCCAAAACCTGTTCCTGTGCCAGCACCGCCTGGTCCGAAACCGGTTCCTTGTACCAGCACCGCCTGTCCAAAAAAACCTGTTCACTCTGCAGACACCGCCTGGGTCCGAAACGGTTCCTGTACCAGCACCGCCTGGTTCCCAAAACTGATTCCTGTGCAGCAACCGCCTTTTGGTCCGAAACCGTTCCTGAATGCCAGCTGCGCCATGGTCCAAAACGGTTCCATAGTGCCAGTCCGCCTGGTTCCAAAAACCTGTTCCTGTCAGCACCGCCTGGTCCGAAACCTGTTCCTGTGCCAGCTGCGCCTGGTCCAAAACCGGTTCCTGTGCCAGCTCCGCCTGGTCCAAAACCGGTTCCTGTACCAGCACCGCCTGGTCCAAAACCTGTTCCTGTGCCAGCACCGCCTGGTCCGAAACCGGTTCCTGTACCAGCACCACCTGGTCCAACGTTAATCAAAATAATAATAATTGTTTGTCCTTTTAACGATTAAGTAGAAATGGTATGTTCTACTGTACAAACATAGGGAAAACTAAACAAACTGTACACTTTAAAGGTGTTAAAGTGATCGAATGAAGACGTTTCTCACCTTGCCCGTAGCCCGTTCCACCCAGTGCAGATGATCCATAGCCTGTCAGAAGAAGTTAACAGCCTGAATATATCTTAAAATATAATTATAATTATGTTATTAATGTTGGTGTTAAAATATGTGAGTGTTATACCTGATTTTGGTGGCTTTCTTGTTCCCAGTCCTTGACCTGCTCCACCAGGTCCATAGCTGCCTGGTCCAGTGCCAACACCACCTGGTCCAGTGCCAACACCACCTGGTCCAAAACCACCTGGCCTGGTTCCGACACCCCCAAGTCCCGTCCCAGTGCTTGGCCCGTATCCACCTGGTCCAGTGCCACCAGGTCCGTAACTACCAGCACCAGTACCACCAGGTCCAAAGCACCTGTCCAAAAACCTCCGGACCAGTAACGACTCCCCCTGTCCAGTCCCATAGCCACCAGGCCAAACCCAGATACCACCATGGTCCAAAGCACTGGTACCAAAACCTCCGAGGGACCATGTACCGGACTCCCCCTCGTCAGTCCCAATAGCCACCAGCCCAACCCCAGTACCACCAGCTCCCGCTCCATAACCTAAAAACAAATGTTGATTCAGGTTCAGTTTTTTTTTTTGTGTAAATGCTTGTATCTGTATGTTTTGACTATATGTGAAGTCTTATCATACTTTTTGGTGGTTTTCCAGAGCCAGTACCCAGTCCTGGACCTGTGCCATATCTTGTACCTGGACAACAGAGCATTAAGATAAACAGTTTATTTATTATATTTAAATTACATGCTATTTCAATGAGTTGTGTTCAGTTTTTTATTTTGATAATTAATAATTGTTTCCATAGAGGTCAACTTACCACCAGGACCTACACCACCACCATATCCCCCGAGTCCTCCACCGACTCCACCAGGGCCTACTCCAGTTCCAGTCCCTCCAACTCCAAGGGTCCCAGCACCCCCAGGCCCAGTACCGGTGCCTCTGCTGCCTCCATAGCCTCCAGGTCCAGTTCCATATCCACCAGGCCCAGCACCATAGCCACCTGGACCAGCCCCGTAACCTCCAGGTCCTGCACCATAACCTCCTGGACCTGTACCATAGCCTCCAGGACCAGCTCCATACCCACCAGGCCCAACCCTACCCTGGCCTCCTACTCCAAGACTTCCATACACTGAAGGAAAGATAAAAAAAAAGCTTCTTTTATCGCTGAAATCAAAATTAGTCCTTGTTAAAGACAGGAGAATATAAATAGTTTAAAGAACCTTTGCCTGGTTTTCCTGTTCCCTGTCCTACTCCAGCTCCAGTCGGGTAACGAATGCCTGAGAGGAAAAAAAAGTATTAAAAATTCTGTATTGTAGGTATGTTTCAGTCATCTGTTTGCTGTTGCTAGGATGGTAAGGATAGTGTTAGTTAACATACCTCCACCTGGTAAAACTCCAGCTCCATAACCTATGATAGATAATGAGTGAAATGTACCAATAAGAAATCTTTGTATCATTGTCATATAGGCATGTAGGTTTGGGATGAATACACAAACAAATTAGTAGTAGCTCACTTTTTCCAGGTTTAAGGGCTCCTGTTCCTACTCCACCAGCACCAGGTACCAAGCCTGCTCCTCCAGGACCTCTTCCAACTCCTCCTCCAACTCCTCCAACTCCTCCAGGACCTCCTCCAACTCCTCCAGGACCTCCTCCAACTCCACCAATGCTTCCTCCTCCCACCCCACCGACTCCACCAGGTCCACCACTTACGCCTCCTGCTACAGTCCCATCAGGTCCATATTCTACATGTGAAAAAATTATATAATAGATGTTTTTCTTCAGTTAATAGAGATGTTTTATTCTCCTTTAACTTTTTTTTGTTACAGATTGTAATATTGTTAGATATTGAATGGAGGTAGATGTAATACAGTCATAATGGAGTATACATTCAGAGAGCAAAAATGGCACCTTTGGGCGGTTTTGGTGTTCCTCCTACTCCACCAGCTGTACCTCCTGGTCCAACTCCAGTTCCAGTAGCAGCACTGTCTCCTCTTCCCACTCCTGTCACGCCACCTGAAACACCTCCTGTTGCTCCTGCACTGGTAGGCACCCCTCCTACTCCTCCTGGTCCTCCACTTGTGCTTGCTGTATCACCTCTCTCTCCATCAGGACCTCCCTCTCCATCTCCTTCACCTGGCGTGTCACCTCTGGGGACACCTGCAGACAGTTGCACAGAAGGAAACCAGACCCGTATTTCAGCGTAGAATAAAAACTGGAACCGAGAAGTCAGTAACCACCAAAACTATTACATTCAACCGCAATTACAGAGAAAAAGCCTGGTGAGTATTGTTTATTCTATATTTAGATCCCTATTAGTTTGCACACAGTGGTTGCGAGTCTTCCTGGGGTGAGTACAGTCCCCAGTATGTGATCAGAAACCTATTTAAAGATAGATAGATAGATTTTGATAGGTGGCTCTCATCGGAGATCATACAGTATGTTACTTGTCATTTCCTATTGGTAATTTGCTGTTCCTACTGTACAGGAAAATACTATATCCTGAAATTCGAGTTATAAATTAAGGGTAAATTGGGTTTTATTTTGTTCACCTGGGGGTTTGAGAGGTTTGGCTCCAGGCAGCGTACCAGAGAGATCACCACCAGAACCTGCAAAATTATACAGTGAAATTGAAGATCTCTGCTGAGAGGATGTAGAAGACAATTAAAGAAGCACAAGCAGGAATCATAGTTGGAAAGCATAAGGCAAATAAGTGCTCTGCATCATATGTGTCTAGTGGGAAATCTTACCTCCAGAGGGAAGTCCTGTACCACCTACATTTTAGAGAGAGAGAAGACCAGAGTGACAACCTCTAAGTAAATCCAATTAACACTACAGGAAGTGCAGGCATCACTAACATCCCATGCATCATCTAGAAGTATGTGAGACACATAGGC